AGGTTACACCTGCCGTAAGCTCTTTTTCATGATTGGGTAAACGGATAAACACGTAGTCACTCAAGTATGTTTAAAAATTATGACCCATGATATTTTATATATCTTTTATTTATATTATATATTTTTATACATATGTATTAAAAACCTCAGTCAACATTCAACCTGAAAACAGGTTGTATTTGCAAACAAGATTTTTATTCCAATCTCAGAATTTGATAAATAATACGCCTTATTTCTTTGAGGAACCCCAATCTACCAATGCATATTGAGTTGAAAAAATGAAACTATTATTTTTTTTTATTTTTAGGTCTACTAGGAAGTTCGTGACTTAAACATTCTATTTACAGATGAAAATATAACCTTCAGCGACAATTGTTCAAGGGTAAAATTATTATTATTGTCTTTTTTATAAGTCATTGCAAAATTAAAAGTCAGTCTACCATTCGAAACAGACTTCAAGCAATTTAATAGAATTCTTGAAATAAAAAGACCCGAAAGCGTCAAAATGATTTTCGTCAAATTTTCCAATGCTTTTTTTTTTTCCGGGAAGGAATAAGTAACTATTAGCAAGAGCAGTCTCTACACATCAAGAAGAAGGCTAGGAATCTCGATATCAATTGGCATTCAACGTATTCACTATCTTGCAACATCTTGTCATGTCTTTCATAGCAAACACTAAATAACATATACCAAGCACTAAATAACAAGATGGCTTGTTTCGTTATTGCTTTGTATGATACAACAAACAACTTTTTACAGATAATAGAGCAAAAAAGTGAGAAAACTTTACTGATATAACGAAATCAATTTCACAAAAGCAGAATCTTAGCGATTACAAATGCCGTCAAATCCCTGAAGAGTGATTGCGTAATTTCAAAACAAAAAAAGTTGCGAAAAGTATTTTGTCTCAGTATGATAATTTAATTTGAAGCGCACTTGGAAAAATAAAACTTTCTCATCTTGTGCTTTTTTCCAAAGAGAAAAAATACACTGAATAAATAAAGTCTTTTTATGATGTTTGTTTTGACACATTGAATTAAGCGAACACAGTTGTTCTTCGTAACTAGAGTCGTGATTTTTGTTTACACATAGCACCTTTTAGACATGTTATAATTATACAGCATTTAGCTATAGGCTCTTCATCAGCAGCAGGAAGCGTTCACCGAAGGCCAATAAAAACAGAGGCATATTCTCTGCACCAAACACTGCACATCTGGAGAATTTAGAAATGTCAAAACTGAATTTTGGAACCTTTGATTTATTTGGCTCACTCTGCGTACGATCTATCGTCACTGGAGTAGCTATATTCTGGTAGTACTTACTTCGCGCTGACTCCGAGGTGCGACTTGATCAGGGTTGGCAGAAACATGGAAGCCACCCTCCCTCGCCCATTGGTCAACGTCATTAATACGGAGATATCCTTCTCTAAATCTACAACAGACACTCTTTAATGAATATTTCACATGTTTGACGAATAAAGATTTCAAAGAGCACAAGGGGAGGCCATCAATCAAAGTTAATTGTTCTCTATCGCTGCAGGTGGAATTATGATTCACGGGTCTATAATAGCCAAACATTTATGATAGAGAGATAATGAAGATTTTTATACTGTCTTAATCACAACGAATGTCCATGGAACGTGAGTTATGGGTAAAAGGTTGCTGAATTGACATATTCTTAAAAGTGACGTTGATTGCAACTTCCTCTGCTAAGTTTAGCAAATTGATGGATTTGTCAAAGCTATTTTTATTAGCAAAATTGAACATTGAATAAAGGAAACCAGCACAATCCTTCAAGTTTCTCGGGAAGTACTTAAGTTTTTACCAACTCATTCTGAAACATTAAGAACGGGTCCATGTGGAAAAGGATAATATATGATAAAAATAGAAATCTGAGAGCCTGCATGTCATCTCTAATTTCATTATTTAAATCATATCAATAAATCAAAAGTGACATAGTTATAGCTAAGTTACCCTTTTCAATTTCATAACGCTATTAAAACTTTTCCCCTCATTATCAATTAGATACGGATCTCTGACCTCTTTTAAAAAAACTCAAAATCTATCAATGTGTATATTTTTAATAAATTATTAATCAAACTTTGGAAGCATTAAAAACCCATAGAAGAAACCACTGTGATTAAATATAAGTACAATGAAATATGTGCATATCTGAATTATTTTTTAGAAAAGAAATTTGAATTTTATAAAATTATTTAAAATCATTTCCATAACAATTTCATTTTAGGCATAAAATTGACAAAACAATCAAAATGATGTTAAAACTGTTTCGTGAAGTGTTGTATTTCATTTTTATTCATTTTACATAGGTGCAAAGAAATATAGTGATTCAGAATCTGAAACACCATGCAGCTGAATTTCTTGTACACTGGTATTATCAGCATTTTTCGAGGAACATGAAGACAACGCACAGAAATCAAGCTCAAAAGACCTTTGGAGCAATACAAATTGGGAGCAGAGAAAACAAAGAAAACTGAAATCATCAGAAGTGGACTCAGGTGCCATGGAGAAGTAAGCATTCCCTGTTAACCGGTCACATCCGCTCCTAGTCTTGGTCATTTGTCATGACCGCATTTGTTATCGCTATAAAAATAATGGCCTTAGAATTTGAATTCAAAACATCATCTAAAATTTGACTTAACTATAATAGATTATAGTTCCCTGAAAGATCATATAGGCCATAAAATTTGCGAAATATTGACATAGAAAAGGGCTTTTTTCATCCATGAATCATCAACTTTTTCATCAGTAGCTTGCATCGTTTAAGAAATAGCTCCTATCTAGAGCATGATCTTAAGCATCGAATCAAGGAAAATTAGATAATATTTTATTTAACAACTATGAATTTATAAGAATATATGAGGTTGTTTTAATAAAAGGCAATACACATTCACCAACATTGACGAATATTTTCTAAGCGAATCTTATTTGATCAAAAAGGGCTTTTGATACCCATGTATCATCAACTTATTCGTTAGTAGCTTGCATCGTTTTAGAAAATTGCTCCTACCTAGAGCATCATCTTAGTATCGAATCAATGAAAAATAGATAATATCAATTTATTTATTTAATTAACTATCAAAGTATTAGAATATATGAGTTATTCTTAATGACAGGCAATTAACATTCACCATCATTTACGACTAGTTTGGTGTTCATATTTGTTTTATCCAAACTTTTACTTTTAAAAGGAGATACGTATTATCAAGTTATAACCATCGATATGCAAAGAAGACAATGACATTAGGCATAGATAAAATTTTCGTCCTTCCTTCAATTAATGTGTGTGACCGCTTTATATGAGGCATTGAGACAGGATTTCTTTCCGGGTGATGACCGGTCATTTCATGTCTACATCCATACATAAAGAATCTTCATAGGCAGACCTTAGCCATATCATTGTCGTTTTGTAGCAGTGCCAGATATAGTGTGATAAAGAATGCCGTTATTTGCTACCCAAAGCATGGTCAATACAAGGGACTTTACAATTATACCTAAAGCCTTGTCGACATCAATACAAGGAGCTATTTGATATTGGAGTATATTTGATAAATCCAAAAAAGCCGTGAAATCCAGCCATTATTCAACATTCTCAATATTAAAATTTTCACTATAAATTCTGTGGCTGTTAATTGATACACAAGTAATGAGAAGCCTTAAGGGGTAAAATTAATTTTTATGGTACACAAAAAGAAAGAAAGTGGCACCAGCTTCTATATTTAAGTACATCATTCCCTTTGATCACAGAATATCTGTCTGTGCAGCATATAAACCTTGATTAGAAAAAAATATATCCCACCTCTCTACTCAGGAAGAAAATTAGTTTTACTAGACGCATTCTTAAAAAAGAAGCCTTTCAGGTACATGTATAAATTAGACAATTAATGCAACGACTGGCCTAGTTCCATTCAAGTAAATTATGCCCTTAAATGGGAAAAAAATATACATACTTTATTTTCCTATCTATATTGCATCATATAAAAACCTAAATAAGGCCAAAAAAATCTTTTTGCTCCTGAAAAAAGAAATTTTACTAGACAGCCTCTAAAAACACGAAGCCTTTTATGGATATATCAGACACAAGAATGGTAATCACTCATTGCTATTATACTTAACTACCATCTCTTAAGAATAAATCTGCAATAAAGGGGAGTCTACTTCAGGAGCAGACTGTTAAGTGGGTAATGTCACGATTGTTCTCCCACCGGGCCTCACTGGCATGACATTAATACACAGACGATGCTGGGGACCTCGGGTAATTGGTCGCTAATCAGGTCTGGGATGTACCGGGGATATTATCACGGGAGTATACAATGGTCCATATCGGAAACTCAAGTGTATAAATAGACAGCGATAAATGGAATGGAATGGAGAAAGGCATTTGTGTTGCCCTGATTGATTGACGGGAAACAGACCCGGAGTAAGTTATAAGACTTTCCTTGACAGGTCCTGGAGTACTGCATGCCATTGATTAAAAACGTCACAATAGGCCCAGGTCATCGGAATTCTGATCAGCATCGGAGACAGTTTTCTTCAAAACAATTCCTTGTCGCCTTGACAAATACACTTAGTTTTAATTATTCAAGACAATATATGTTTAATTGATTTTGAATTTCAAAAAAGAATAAAAATTTGGAAATAATGGCATTTTTAACAGCTATGCTGATTGCATTCATTTGAAGAGTGATGATTTATGGTTTTTAAATTATTACGTTTGACGTACATAACGCTACACATCTCCAATCTTGATCTCTTTTCATATATTATTCATCAAAGCACTGACTTGGCAAGGCATAAAGAATTGTTGAAAGCTCATTTCAAAGACATTACACAAGTCCTAAAGGAATTCCATTGTAGCCTCCTCGATACAAAACCATCGCAAAAAACTCCATGCAAAATCATTCATAACCACTGAACAGGAGATTTTCGATGGTGAAAATTGTATGTATTCATAAAGGATTAAAGGAAAGCTATTATGTACAATTGAGTTACTATTGATCAGAGACTGTCATATATTTACAAATCTGTTATATTCCAGCACTTCTGTTGTTATCTCATTGCTTGCTTCCGACTGCACTCGCAGACTTTTTCAAACAACTCAAATCAAAACAGCAGAATTACCAGGAAAATAACTATCCGGCAAAGGTGTAACTTGAGTACAAACTTTGCATCTATTCAACTTTAAAGACTGCTCCAGTTAGAAAATTGTAAAAGGACCCGTGTAACATTGTAGACCATCATTAGTGATGCTTCTTACTTGACAATATAACCTTATTCTGGGCTATACAGTGTTAAAGAGGAGGCGTATTGTACGAGGGGTCCAATGTTAAGGTTTGTATTGGTTAAGTTTAAGTTTGAATTCTATCTTTCAAGCATGCATGTTCCAATCAACTCTTTTTTTTTTTTTTTGGTTTTCAGTTATTGCATTATATTCAACATTGCAATGATAGTGTTGACTTTAATATTTCATTGAATTCTTTTATTTTATTTTTTGAATACTCAGTATCTTTTGAATATTAATTTAAACTAATTTAGAGCTAAGTTACACCTTAGTTATTTACCAAAGAATTTTAATCAATTTGAGAACACAAAACAACTCTCTCAGAAACACTACGTCGCAAGCCACGGAGTTGGCATGGTTTGTGTCCAATTTATTTCCACAGAATGGACACAAAACTCGTGGCCTGCAAAGATGCCAGAAACAATTCTACTATATATCAAATTTCAGACGATGCATTTAAATGCATTGGTTAAAAAAAATAATTCCATATGTATAGAATACGTGTAATATATAAAGGTATGACAGGCACTTAATTAAAGCAACAGATTATAAGTAATGATAAAGTTTAAGTGTTCTGAGATATCTGCTCAAATCATCGATATAAAGTGTGCTATTATTGCTGTAAAAAATGTTTAAACAAGATGTCCCAATCATAACAAATAATCGGTTTATGTGGAACAAAATCTTAGGACAATTTACATTTCCCCTCTAAGTATATGAAATCCTTGAGATATTAAATTTGTGGATTTAGTGTTTTATCGTGTTCTAGACTGCGTGTTAGAGTGTGTCGATGATATATCTATTGATTTGGCCGGGGTATCCTGTGTGATCCTACAATCAAGGAACACTCGGGTCATCAAAGGAAGGCAAACATACTCTCTCCTCTCTCGCTCGCTCTTAAAACACTCATTAGAAGACAATTGGATTACTATCTATATAAGCCGTGACAGAATTGATGAACACTTCAGCTTGGCCTTTAAGAATTCGCTTTATTCTAACTAATATGCTTTTTAGAATTGTATTGATGTAGAAAAATGAAATAAATTCAAAAATATTATACTGTGATTATTTTTATGAATTATATAGAATCCAACGTTAGCAGTAATGGGAAATTTCTGTATATTGTCAGAAACAAAACTTCACACTTAGCCTTAAATTAAGCTACTTGAACAGGAGCCAACAAAATAAAAGTCGAAAAGTAAACATCAAGTTTCACTTAAGAAATAATAAAGGCATAAGTAGCTCAATTTCAGTTTTAGGCAGGTGTCTCCGGAGAATTCAATTCCGCGCAGAGCAAAATTGCTCAAAATGAAGAAAATTGCTGAATTTCAGGGCATTGATTATTCACCTTGTAACCATATGTACCTCAATATATAAAAAACATGCTCTCATAAAATTTGTTTGAAAATAAGATTTAATCCAAACAAAGTTAATTCACTGCCGGGGACACCATAAATTCTGATACCCCAAGATTTCCTGTTGGTTTAGTTTATCCGGAATAAGACCTGAAAACTATTAACATGCACGATTTCAAAGACTTTTTAAATTAGAGGGGAAGAGATATTGCATTGAATTTGGTTATTCCAAGTGGGAGACTCTGTACCATCGCAGCATGCGCGCACGTGCTTCATGACTAGCGTAATATAATGTGTTTTGTTTCTTAATTACAAGGGGAGAGGCTTATTGAGAGAATGCAGAACATGGTTGGTCAGTTTTAAGTCAAAGGAAGTGCATGACAGCAATGATGCGGTTTATTTTCCGATAACGAAGTATCAACAGGGGATATTTTTTATCGTGAGGAGCCGGGGATAAAGCGGGGATCAGGTTTCTAGTATCCGTGGTATTGGTTTTCATCCACTGATTGAGTTAACAACTCTTCATAGATATATACATCAGATGTGAATGGACCTAATAGGATTAGTCCCTCGGGAAATAACCCCGTCTACAGGTGTTTGCGGCGATAGGTTCTATAAAGACTTCACAGGAACGATAGTTGATTTTCTCATTCTTGTACTCTAACGATGGTAATGAAGAGCATTTCCATATATATTTGATTCTTGTGATGTTTTATATATGAGGGGATCGATTTATTGTTTTAGATCGAAAGTGGCTTTTCAAAGAGTAAAAAGGAAAGTAAACATTTGGACCATTTGATGAGTAAAAGCTTTGGATGTGAAATCAATACCTAAGCACTATTTGATGAAAATGTGAAAAGTATTAACAGTTTTAATTAGTGAAAGAGGGACAGTCGTTAATCTTACATCAAAAAGGATGGAGGGAGCTCGCCTCGCTGTGTGTCGTCTGCGATCTACTTGTTACAATGAAATATAATGGTATCTTTTGTGTTTTGTCTGTGGATACTTTTGACCGCCGCTATTGCAGCCGTTTGGTCTGTGAGTCTGCTACAGCCGGTATGGGTACTACACCCGGACAATGTCCACTCGTTTGGACTACAGAAGTACTGTGTGTTAGACACCCAGGAACGAGGGGATGTACATGGCAGTGCGCTACAGAGGAAGTGCTTGTCCTACGGGAAAGAGTTACACATAGGAAACATTCCATCAGGGACCTGGAGGGCGGCATTTCTCCTCTTTTCTTCTGGAATTCTCCTCTTCATTGCTAGTGTACTAACTGGACTTATGTCACTATTCATCCAAGGAAAATGGGATAAATATGTGTCCACAACAACGAAATATATTCAATCAACTGCAGGTAATGTAAGATAAGACTTAGAGGATATTAGGATTTTGCTAGTTTGATTAATATTCAACATGTAAATTTGTTTTGCTGTTTTGTGATGCTCTGACATTTATTACTTTGTTAAAAATTGTGTCTGAGTTAATATTTTTTTTAGATAATGAATAGATAAACAAAATTCAATGTAATTTTTCATAAAAATCAACAGTTATTGGGAAACTAAAAAACGATTTGGATGTACTTTTGCAAAATGAATAATTAAGTAATCAATTACTGTCTTCCTGCATCATCCGCCATCTGAAAAAAAAATGGTTTCAAAGTAGGAAATTATCTACCGCCGCTCCATGCTCGTGTCTATAGGACCTGATAAATCGAACGTTTGAGCTCAAGTCAAAAGTGCGTTCATACATAATAGTACATCACCAGTAGTGGCAATAAACGCCAATAAAGCTCCATTTTTTAGCCAACACGACACTTGTGTGGCACCTTCTGCATCTCAATCTAATCTTTACAATATAGCATTACATCGTAAATTCTGAGCAAAACTCTCTTTGAATCGGCCCGATTTTTTTAGCAATATTCATAAACTTTGCCGTTGGTTGCGGTGTTATCTGTAATCCTTTGCAGGGACATGTGGTAAAACTATCAATGTCTTGTTAATAAGCTTATTATCTTACAAAACACAAACACACACCCGCGATCAGGGGGTCAAAAAGATTATTTTCTTTTTGATAATGTCAAAAATTTCCTCAGGATCACTAAAGGGACACGGTTATTTAACATGTTGTAAAAAACAACATACTTTCAAACTTGCATTTTGGAGAGAGAGAGAGAGAGAGAGAGAGAGAGAGAGAGAGAGAGAGAGAGAGAGAGTACAGATAAGAATTAGTTCTGCTACTGTGTATTTTACATGGCGATCAATGGAAGAGTTAATTTCTGGAATTTAAAAAAAAATTAATTAAAAATCCACATACGTATTCGACAGAAAGGTTATCAATTTATTTTAAAGCAAGTTAAACAAGTGAAAAAATTTGCGAAGTCCTTTTAAAATGAACTTAATTCAAATACCAAGATATCGTTTCTAACAGAACGGAAAATTCACTAAAGAGTTCAAGAGCTTAAATTCACTAGTTTCTTCAACAAAGACTGATGGTGATCTCCCAAAAAATATCCCATTTGCTAATGTTTTAGGCAAATAAAATTTGTATAAGTATGGATCCTATATATGTTAACATATGCTTTACTATGAAAGATCAAAATACCCTAGCTAGTCATTGGTATATATACATACATGTAGATGGACGTTGTCTTTTTAGGAGATATATATTATTTTGTGTAACTATGGTACCTGTTTTGGATGTAAAGTCATCTTACATAAAAGATATATAATAATCACTCCTTTTTTCAATTGTTTCCAGTGCTCGTCGTAATGTCTGCTCTTCTGACCTACCCCCTCGGATTTGGAAGCCATTTTTTTCGGTACTATTGTGGTTCCGCGGCAGGACCCTATTATACAGGGCAGTGTAGCGTGGGGTGGAGCTACATGCTGGCCATAATGGGCGTGGCTTTGTCAGTCTTCTGTCCTATCCTGTGGAGTTTTAGGTGGATCAAGCGTGATGACGTCATGGAAGGAATACCCGTTTGACTGTGAATTATGACATTAAGAGTATTAGAACATTATTTCATATCATTCCGTGAATTTGAGTCATATTATATATTAAAAACATGTTAATACAAATTGCGATCGTGTTCGATATTTATTTTAAGTGAGCAGTTTATGGAATACATTTTACAAAGGAATAAAGATACGCTTTTGAAAGCACAAAATTTATTTTAAAGAAAACATACTTACTACATGTAGTTGTAAAAAAAATGCTAAGAGTTATTTCAAGAAAATAAAACATGTGCATTTTAACTTTTCACGTTACTTTGCTGCGTGCTTGAAAAATTGAATTGCCTGATAATCATCTTCGTCAATTAAACGTGCTGTTTCATGTTTAAAACCGAATTATACAATAAAAAAAGAAAATCAAATGTTTACAGTGATACAAATTCTATTACATTTCTCTTTATCTTTACAATCATAGCAAAATTGATTTGGTTTCCGATTTCAGGAATATAATGAAGATCGCCAGGGAAAACTCATTTCCATCGGGATCTGAGTCTGCAGTCAAATTTATTGAAGCTTGTGGATTTTCCACTGAACTAAAATGTAATGCCAAAAATAATCTCAAGAGTATCATGTGACACCTCTTTTCCTGAGTAATAATCACATCGAGAAAGAAAGACATCAAAGAAGAAAACCCAAGTGTAAAATCACTGCGAAAAATTCATTGTAAATGACGTTGAACAAATCATCGAAATTCTTCATGAGTCGTTATGATTTCTCCTTGATAGATGTATGTACTGTGTACGTGTATTTGGTTTGTTTCGATAAGGACTTGATAACAAATTGCACAAAGATAAATGTAAACAAAGAGTTAAAAAAAAGTATTATCTTCAAATTTACACTCTCAAATAGCTATCAAATGTGACGATTCCGTGCTATTTCGCGATAATTTGACAGGAGAATTGCTGTACGTCAATATAAATATTCCTCACAGAATCTAAGGAAGCATCTGTCTGTGAGTGTCAGCCTCAATTCCCAGCCCGGCCTAACTGTTCACCAGTCAAAATATACTTTGTTTATTGTCTTAATCAATTATGAATATATGTTTCAGAACGAATTACTTTATGGCATGTACTTTCCCGTTTTGCTAATCAGCAAAGACATGGAATTTTTCATTTTAAGAATTTAGTGAGGAAATTTGTTTTATGTAATTTTCATATTCCTTCTTCAGATTAATGTTTTAAGGAAAGAAGACAAAGAATTTTTTTTACATAGTTACAGCTTATTAAATATGAGGTAAAATTAAAGAAAACTATTTTTAGATTAATTCATTTTTTATGCCAGTCTTAGTAAAATAACTTAGATTGACCAATAATAAAACTGTCCAGTTTCTCTGGATCTCGCATTCTCACAATACAATATAAAATTGTTCGTCTATAGCTTCCAGTGGCGGATTTAAGGGGGGCGCACCCTGCGCGTGCCCCCCTAAAATTGTCAAAGTTAACGTAAATCACAGTTTCTTCTAGAAAATGTAAATATGTCTACTTGGTAGACCTCATTTTTACCCTACAAATTCTCTAGAATCCAGGAGCCCCCAGACCCCTTGACTACTTTTGGCGCCCCCTCTAACTTCAATTCCTGGATCCGCGCCTGGCTTCTTTTCGAATACTTGAATATACCTCTTTGTTGAATTTTTCTTACTACAAAAATATAGCACAAGAAATATACCAAAATATAAAGACGTGTGGTCAGTATTAGGTATACAGATATGCTATACTGACACCACAGATATAAGGTAAGTAAGTGTCAAGAGTAAAATGACAGGCCAGTGTCCAACAGAAAGTACAGAATTCTGTAGAAGACATTTGTTTCAGAGGGACTCTGCATATATTAAATGACCACAATGATTTAGTTCAAGGTACAGTAAAGATTTGTTAACCTTTCAAGTTCAAGTTCATTTATTCACTCAAAAGTAAACATTTTAAAATACATGGTACATGAGGACAATGAAAACTATTTATAGCATATATATATTCAGGTAAGAGGTATAAGTATATGATATACATAATCAGACAAAGAAATAGGAGAAAAAGAAAGTGAAAAAAGAGGGGGAAAAACACGTAAAAACAGGTAATAATGAAATAAATGAGGGAAAAAATTATAGAGGACAGACTACGAGGGGTGATCAAAAAGTTCGCAAACTAATTGAATAACTTCCATACAAGAAACAATATTTGATTTTAATGTTGATTATATTTTAAATCATAGACCTCCCCGATTTTAATGCACATCAACCACCGTTCTGCGCATGCGCGAATTACGTGATATTGGCGGTCACGTGACCCCCTCCGTAGCGTTCTGTCACAATTTCTTTCCATGTGAGTTAATTTTTATGACAAGAACAGTTAATTTGTTAGAAATGGTCATATCTCGGCAACAGAATGGGTGGATAATAACATCCTTTCCAAAAATAAGCATGGCGACCATTAAAACACAAATCTTCTGTCTCAGGAGAGACCTTTATTCAAGGTGGATAGAGAATGGGTGCATCCTTTTTATCATATCTAATATGTTTAAAATCTAAAGTAAACGATATCTTAGGTATTTAATACTTATATCATTGTTCAAATATTCAACTATTTTTCAAAGTGCTAATTGGAGGTCTTTGATCGCAAATTGCTTAATTAAAAATAAATATCTTTTCAAACTTGCTTTCACTGGGCAAGATGACAAGTATCATTTTAAACCATCAGCCTTCATTCACTAAAACGATTAATCCAATCATTAATTGAATTTATAGGAACTCATTTATCTCAATAAACTGTGTACAAATTATTATATGATACTATAGAAGGATTTTTAAGATATTACAATAAATTGTACAGTCGTTTGTTGAACGAGTTCGACTGAGACAACCATTTTTCGTCACAAGTGACCTAAATAGTGACGTCATTTTCACATTGTGACGTCACAAACAAGGAGAGAAACTTTATTCAGCATATGCTATTTATAGACCTTGTGTATGGCTATGTGTGTACCGAATTTCGAATTGTGGTTTTGTAGATATAGAGATAGTTTGCGAACTTTTTGATCACCCCTCGTAAATCATGTATTGTATTATGGACTTTTGAGTTTGAATATACTGATCGATATCTCCATATATTTCTGTTAAATAATAGAGGTAAATAGGTAAATAGACAACTTTCATTTAATTTTCACGGGTATCTTTTACTTTTGTTATTTAACAGAAAGAGAGGAACCAAGTTGCAGTAACAAGTTTGTGATGTTTGGTCTTTAATAGAATCAACAAGTCAAAGAAAAAAAATGAATTAGAAATTCATGCACTTTCAAGGAAAAATGAATTTTGTGCAAAATCAAGCATGTGTGATTATATACTGAAAAAAATAAGCAAATTATACAACCGTGAATAACAAACCATTAGTATTAAATGAAAAAGGTAAAGCTAAGATTTATATGAAGTTTAAGGTGTATCAGCTAATATCATTTCCTATATAAAGGATATGAACGAATTGCATGTTAACATCATAATTGAATTCCTACAAGCAACATTTAATCGAAAGGTAGTCAAATCCCATAAACAATCCTTTGTATATGTACAATATGTACCTAAGTTACCTTTACATATTGTACCTAAGTTATATCAACAAATTGTACCAAAGACACCTCAACAAATAAATTTGATAAGCTTTTGTTATTTATGTTGTATACGTGTCACTCATGTCGACATTTTATCAGATGTTCATAGTAAAATAAACACTGAGAAACGAAGTCAGAATTTCTGTTGATGTTGTGCTCACAATTACACGATATAGTGTGGCACGTGACACTATCAGAAAAACACGAATTTTGACAGTTTACAACAAAACATCATCATAAACAGAATATAAGTTAAGCGCTTCCTGTAACTCCAGTAAGTGATGATGAACACAGAGATTCACACTACACTGTACACATCAAAGAACCACATTTAATCATGATGATGAAACATGCCCGTGAAATGATATCCATCAACATGTCAATGTTTCTGTTATCTCACTGAGGAATCAATTACCATGACAGAGACAGGCCGCTCAGTAAACGATTACACAACACATTAGAAAACAATTAAAATATCGACTTATTTGGCTTACATCCGCATGAAGTCGAATGCTTCTATCGCTATTGCATATAAATGTGATAGAGTTAGTTCTGGATCATCCTTCAGATCTTTTATGCGAAGGATGAGATATTGTCTTTTGTATATTTTACACAATAACTAATGTGTTTAAAGAAACAATTTTAAAGCATTTTCAACTCATTATAAATGTGATGATTCAAACTTTTCAGTCGTCAACTTTCCAATTTCCTTTTACAATATACATGCACCATCTCCAACTGTATGTAGAGTTTTTGTCTTCCAGTTGATTTAATACGCAAGAGCATGAAAAACATATGAATTTAATAATTTCTTAAATAAGGTAACCTTTGAGAAACAAGTTGATGAAACAAGGATATCAGAAGACTCAAATAGACTATAAACATTTTGCAAGTTCATACTCGACAAAATGATCTTGACGGCGAATTCAATCTATCATTCACATGTTGACTGATGTTTTTCATACGAAGTAAGTGCAATTTTTACAAACTGAATTGTCAATGGATTTTTCGTTTGCTCAAACACTGCAAGAAGCACATGGCAAGAAATGACTGATCGACAGTGAATGCCTACACCTCCATGGCATCTGATCCCACCTCTGATGGTTTCAGGGGTCCGTGTTTGGTCTGCTCTCGTTTATATTGTTTCAGTGGTCTTTCAAGCTTGATTATTGTTTGTTTTCTCCATGTTTTATTGAAGTAAAATATTTTCCTAGTAAATATGATTGTTTACTGTTACATTCTGTTTTGTTTGAAGATCCATATCTTTTAGGTAAAATAATGCATTTTGATTACAATTAATTTGCAGCTGAAAGAGCATAACATAAATTTAAACTTTTCAATATTGTCGGAATATTGCTGTTGAAGGTTACCATTTTTTATGGATGAAGGCAATATTTTTATTGCCTTTGTTAAAAAGAAAGCATGCTTTATGCAGTAAATATTTAACATTTTTTCATAACTAGTTTAACGGACACATTAAACTAAAGGAAACATGATTTGTAACAGTTGGATTAAGAAGTGGGTGTTGTTTGTCTCGTAGCTCCAAATATTATATAAATTCAATTCACTGTGTACAAGAAACACCTAAAACGAAATGCTATAAACATCATTCTTAAGTACCAAAAAAATCCGTCAACGATGTCACATACAATTCATATTAGGTAACCGCACAAGACAGATTGAACATTCACACATTCTTGTCAAATGAATATAATTATTAAGAAATTTTCATCGTGAGTTGACAATTAAATTTCAAAAAGATAAGAAAAATAAATCTGAAGTTAAGAAAAATGGAATTCATATGTGACTGAATAATAAAAGTAATGATTTAAAAATGTACAAAAAGGGGCTATGCAATTAACATACATGTAGTTGAAATTTTATTTGTAAATAAGGTCTGGTTAAAAAAAACGCTATTACTTTAATATTTAAACTTTGGATATTGTGCTATAATGTCAGAGAAAAAAGAGATCTTATTTATTTTATTATGTACATTAAGTAATTGTTAATAAATCAGAAAAGATTTACTTGATCATGGATGATGGGTTTTTTTTTCAATCCAAAAATTATTTATTTTTGAAAATTATTGTTATTTTCGACAATTATGGAATTTTCTCTAATAGGTCTACTGTTGTATATAATGTGTTTAAATTACCTCAATGCCTAAATTTCTGTTTAAAGAAATATGAACTGCAACTTTGATGTAAAAAAATTCTGTTGCAAAATTGTCAAAAATTATTTCAAAGACAAAAAAGAACATTCATAAACTTCTGTTGTTCAGATTTGTAATAGAATAATTGTTAACAAGCATTATTGTCGTCCTGTACAATATTGTTTTCTGAAATAATACCAAATATTTGATTGTACAAAGGTCTTTCTTTTGAATCAATTTAATTATTTACTAAATACTTTATTTTAGTCTAATTATATATAAACGTTTAAATTACTTTAACATACATCGTAATGAAACATTATAATAGCAAGGTAAAATTCTCAAAAATGCTACTCACACTACTTAAAAAATAATATCGCTAAAAAGATGTCTTGATTCAGCAATGTTGGGCTGCAAAACGGAAAGAATGAAAAAAATTACATATATTAAACTATGAACAAAATATGTATTATACAACGAAATTTTTTTCCGTATTACAATACGAACAAAACTTAAATATGTATTACGTATTGAAAAAAAAAATTATGCACGTATTACAAAGTAAACAAAACTTATATTTGTGTTGCGTTGTGAACAAAATTCATACTTTTATTAAATTGTGAACAAAATATACTTACATGAAATTGCGGACAAATTTCATGCATGTGTTACTTTGTAGAAAAAAATGCACATGTTTTACATTACAAACAAAATTGATACAAGTGCTACATAGTGAACAAAATTTATAAATTATATTACATTATAAACAGAATTAATTAATGTATTACATTAAAAGAAAATTAATAAATGTATTTTATTATGATTAATATATAATTGTATTACACTATAAATAAAATTTATAAATGTATTACAATAAAGCAAAATATAGAAATGTATTACAATAAAGCAAAATATAAAAATGTATTACAAGTAAAATTTATAAATGTATTCATAGTAAGAAATGTTTTACATGTGTTACATAATTAACAAAATTTATAAATGTACATTGTGAACAAAAATAAACATGTACACGAAGGACATTTATACACAAATGACGTGAAAAACCGGATCTATCATCTCAGATGAATGTTTAAGATTAAATAAATAGATATGTCCAATTGTTATAAATAAACGTTTTAGAAATGAATGCAGTTTTAAAAGTTTGATTTCTTGTAGAAAATTGTTTCTCTCTCCATTGATTGTAATCTAAGAGCGTTAACTCGAAATGATTCTATTTCCATGGATAAAAATTTCACAACGTTTAGATACTGCAAGGAATATATATTTTATGTTAAAAATATAGTGAAAAAAATCCTTGCTTATTGCTGCAAAACCTCTTGTTAGCCATCCGTCATTTTCCTATTTTTGTTCCTATTCATACATGTATATGTTACAGTAAATATGTGTAATCAGGAATTTCATATATTTCCTGAAATTTAGGAAAACATGAAATTCCTATTCTGCTTAGGAAACACACATATTTACTGATTTCAGTTAGGGAATACATGTGTTTACTGAATTTTTTAAATCCTTTTACACATATTTACTGACTGTGTTTTGGAGAGATAATTTAAAATATGAATCATAAATATGAACAGATGTACAGTACATTCAATGCATATATCAGTCACATCATATGTGACTAAATAGTATTTGAAATAAACCTTTATTGATTCATAAATTTCAAAAATGCCTTATTTGTAAATGCATGTATACCCCCATCCCCCAAAGCATAATGATGCACTGGTTACATTTTCTGGAATGTGTTATCGATATCACAAAATACTTACAATTATTTCTTACTTTATTAGATATTCATACGATGCTACTTTGAATTTATTGTCAGGAAATTTGCAACCCTGAAAAAAAATCTTATTTGCAATTAAAACAGTTGTTTTGCTGTATGGTGAAAAATGCCAGAAAATACATAAAATGTAATGAAATTAAAGTCAGTAATTCAAGATGAAACTTTACTTTAAGAATTTTCCACCCTCACAATTTTAATGGTTCGAAATAGAAAAACCATTAATTTTCACTAATGGAGTTTTAGAAAGTCAGTGCACTGAGTCTTGCCCAGAATTCAAAATTAATGCATAACGTCATCTTTCTAGAAACAATTCTTAATAAATGCTGCTTTAAAAAAACCGCATACTAGTATTTGTACTTACTGAATATTTTCAGGGATATGTATAGTCATCCAGCTTAGTTCAGTAAAAATATGTAACATTGTCTAAAATTTTCAGTAAATACATGAATTTCCTCGCTTTTCAGTAATTACATTATTTTCTCCAGTATACATATATTTACTGAATGGTTTAGGAAATACATGGAATTCCTGATTTCACATATATTTACTGTAACATATAAATGTATAGCATTTTCATATCAGTCTACATTTAACTCTTTACAACTTACTGAACTGTTATGCAACATACACTGAATGTTCACGTCATAGAAATAGATATTTACCATTTCCCCGCAAGCACCTTATAGCGAGGTACACGTTTCATTAAAGTTCAGCGTAAATAATATCATGACGTAATATTTTGATACAAATATAACTTTTCTTATTTGATGAGAATTTTGCAAGTATAAAATAGAAGGAAATTGGCATTAAATTTAAGATTAAATGAACTTTTAAAAGTGCGTGAAAATGCGTGATTGCGGGGAAACGGTATATGCGTGATTTTGCGTTAGAAATAGGAAATGCTATATGCGTTAAAATGCGTGACTGCGGGGAAGGGGGTTAAAGTGTTAATATTTTATGTAGAAAATCGGCAATTAATTAATATTGATTGTAAGACATCGCCTCTTGAATATTTTTTTAAAGGTAATTTATTCCAAAACTTCATAAGAATCCTTACAAACCAAGATACATAGCGGGTTCCAGAAAATGTTCAACCAAGCCTCTTTCTTTACTCCTCGCGAAGATATTAACAGTAGTGAAGGAAAAACTTCACGAGTACTGTGCAACAATATATTCAAGAAGTGGTGTGAATCAGATGTGGATACTTAAAAATTCCAAGGAACTTAAAGAAACTTTGAAATCACGAAAATCAGCAGCTTAAAAACTTACGACTTTATACACAACCATTCCCAAGGACAAATTAAAATCCAGACTTTTCAATATCATTGACAGCTGCTTTTTCAATAAAAAAGAACTCGAAAATTTACTTAGCTTATTATTGGTCAATTGCACAATTATTTTGTTAAAAAGCATTCTGATTGTACACACAAGTACTCGGAAGTCGACATCAAAAATATGCTTGAGTTTCTGATGTATTTTGCCTCCCCCTTTAAAAACGGGAGAGATTTTACGTTTTTCTTAGATAATGTACGAAAGTACAATTTATACTTTCAAATGGGACAACTGTAAAATCATAATTATTCCTTTTTTTTTATTTTCCATGTTCTTTTCACTTTGCAATCCGGCATCCTGTCTATTTCGACTTAAAATTCCTGTCACAGTGCACTCCAATTTGGATCAGTTTCTATCTTATGTTAACCCTGATCTTTAACAATTTGATGCTGGTCTTTTAACAAACAATAAAACCCTTTCTATATTCCAGTTTTCTGCAAACAATTTATTTAATCACAACCCATTGAACGCAAACGAACACATGGACATGATTGCAATATCGAAAGTAAGATATAGACAATCTCCACTGATTTGTCTCCCACTTAATTAAAAATTTGATAACATGAAGTGAACGATTGTAAATAACCAATAGCATGTACAACACAGCAGATGCATTTTATCTTTCCAGATTGAATGTCATGTTTGGGATAAATCAGGCGGTATTGTTGAAAAGTTCAGGCGACTTTCACATTATTCAAATAAAATAAAATTAATATGCCCGACAAACTTTATTCATTAGTATGTCTATGTCGTCCAACAAATCCGGAAGTACGTGATAAGATGACCAGAAATCCCAGAAATGTTATAACCTTGTTTTAATAAATCAGTCATTTAGATGCATCGAATGGTAATATCACACTGCTAATATGCTGATAAGAAACCATTATCGTAACACAAGGTATGTTACTAAATATTGATTGATGGCTATTACAAAGGAAAAAAAGTGTGCAGTGTAAAATAAAAGCATCAGCGATGTTTCAGAACGCAGTTTGAACGACAGTCTGGACACCGTGAAAACATTCAAAAAGGATAATCCACAAAGAACCTTTCAGAAAAATGAACTTCAGTATTGAAGAGTACTATTCCATTCTAATTGAAATTTTGAAATCCGCTGATGAAGAAGATATACCAAGCCAAGCACTAATTGATGCTTGGAGGATAACAGAGATCTACGTTCAACCGGTTATCTGTGTGATAGGGTTTCTCGGTAACCTTACTGCGGCACGTGTCTTCACCTCAAAGAACCTTCGTCTGAATTCCTCCAATCTGTACCTGGCTTCTTTATCCTGTTTCACCAGTGTCTACATGCTGCTAGTTCTGTTGTCATGGTTAGCTGTGGTAAATGTTCCAGTCATAAATCAAAATGGAATTTGTCAACTGGTCGTATTTCTGACTTATGTCTGCAGTTTTATGACGGTTTGGTTGATTGCTGTAATCACCTTTGAACATTATGTCATTGTCCACCATATCAGAGCAGCCAGGTTCGTATGTAAACGTCGAAAGGCTAAAATTCTTGTTTCTTGCCTTATCGCCACTTCTCTTCTTCTATACTCTACGACACTATGGTCCACACGAGTGGAACAAAGGTCCAACATGCTGGTCTGTACACCAGGAAGTGACCAGCGAGCCCTGCTGACACGATTGGTGTTCTTCATTGACATGGTAGTCACCTTCTTGCTACCAGGAATAATTACAATAACTATCATTTGTGCATGTGTTGGTAGACATCTTCTTATGAAAGATATCAGAGTCTCTTTCTTTAGATATCATTCAAATATCAGGATATCAAGACGAGAGAGATCCCTCCTCCGAATAGCTCGTGTTCTCTTGTTGATCAGTCTGTCCCATGTCGTGTTCAGCAGTCCATGTTTTATATTTAGACTCTGCTATCAGATCTCTTTCTTGTTAAATGAAGAAGACTCATCTAATTTACAGGATTATTACATCAATCAAATTCTTCAAAATATATACTATTTTTCATTTACAGCGAACTTCATAGTTTATATTGCTTTTTGTGCAAACTTTCGTCTTGGATTGAAGAGTATCTTTACATTTCGGAGATTTAAATGCTCCCAGCATAGTCTATCCGAAACAACATAATTCTCCTCTTTATAACTTAAAAACTGAATTTCTACGGAAGTATATATTGCCAAAAACCAACATTAGTAGCCCATTATAAAACAATGTGTTGTGCACGTGTTTATCAACATTACATTTAATACTCCAATATGTAAATAGATCTATTCCAGTTGAAGACTCCCAGAGGCTGTAGGTTATTATGGTGGGATTTAATCGTTTGCATTGCATGTGTCATTATCACTTTACTGTCGCAAAAATCACTCAATATCGTGCTTGATGTAAAGGATGGAACTGAATTTTTATCTTCAATTAATGTCTGATATCTCTCTGTTCGTACTAAAAGCAACGAATATATGTTAGAAATTCAATTTAAGAAGAGTTAATTTAGATAAGGAGTGGAAAAGAGGAAATGAAATTCTCTACTCAAAAGGTAGATGTACTAAATGACATGAAATGAATAGATACTGAGACAAAGCAACCAAAAATTCAAAGTAGAGATTGTTTAAAAAAATAATGATGGTCCTTGTAGTATTGAAATAAAAACAACAACAACAACAAAATAACTTGAATTTATATATCCTCTTATAATCATATATATTGAGGGGTTTTCATATTTTCTCTTTAAATCTTTGCAAAAAATACCTTATTAATATGTAAGTCAATAGTGATCGCTCCAAATATTTAATTCGTTAAAAAGAGCACGCACATTGAACTTTAAGAACTATACATGTATTTTCATTTGATCCCATCTCTGATGTTATAGAGGAGCAAAATTGCGCTGTTTCTGATTGATAAAATTTGAATGGACTTTCTGAGCTTGAATACTCTTCGTTTACTCTATAGTTCATTTGTTTTATTTTTATTTTTGGTGAGATTAGCATATTTATTTGAGACTTTCGGATGATTAGTATCTCTTTTAAAAATTTCTCTACCGCACTATTTTATCTAAACATTATTTTAATGTTCTTCTTGAAAACTGATAGAGCCACGTCCTGTTTTCATTAATTTGAAATAGGAGTTTAGATCAATACAGTGAAATTGCACTTTGTCTCATGGACAGTCCCTGCAGAGTTATTGGACTGACACTAATAACACAGTCTAGATCTTACCTTTAATCTCTCCTTCTGAGAGAAGGCAGGAAATAAGCATACTGCGAGAAGACATGTACATTGTAATATATTTTTAGAAAAAAAAATTCAACACAACCAGATACTGGTATGTAATATATTTTTTAAAAATTCAACCTCATTTTTTCCGACTTCTGAAGAATTGTTATAACTGAACTTTTTAAAATAGTAATTTTGTAATACTGTTGATAGGTTAACTATGTACTTTGAGTATCAGCTTAATTTTTAATGATACGTGTATCATGGATATGTTTTTCAAGGCTTTTCAACACCCTAAACAATAGATTTTACAAAATTCCGGTTCCTTTAAAAATTTTAAAATTAATCACCACTAAGCTATTTTTTCCTCCCAGCAAGGTACTGGAAATTCCAACATCATCTGTACTTAATAACACTTAATGCTTAAAATCTTATACGACAAAAGAGGAAAACACTTGTTGTAGCCTTCAACTCGATAATAATCTGTATCGACAACGTATTAACCATGGTTATTTCTATTCTTATTTCATTTACGATATATCCCGGTGAGCTTGAAATAAAGAAACCAGATTCCGACATATATCACATATTTGTTTCATCTAACAACCAAGCTCTATGATAAACAAAATGACTTTAACTTTTCAATCGGCAACTTCCTTTATTTATTACGCAATATACCTTCATCACCTGCATACGAGGTATATATCTATCAGTTGATTCTATACCCAAGAGCGTGCTCCACGTATGAACAGTGTCTAAAACAAAATAAGTTATTGACAAAAAAGATGATGAAAGAATAGTATCAGCAAGCTCGTTATAAAGTTTCGTAAGTTCTATGGTCAATACAATGACCATGTCAGAAAATACAATTTATCATTGAGTCAAATGCTGACTGACGTTCTTCATACTTTTTGTTTGGTCATTTTTTTAAACACTAATTTGTCGACGGACTTTTTTTGTCATTTCCCAGTCATGACCAGGAGCACACTGGGGGTGTGACCGGTCGACAGGAAATACTCACAACTCCGTGACTTTTGAGCTTGAAAACTGTTCGTTATCACCATTTATTTCGTTAAGTTGACTTCTTCATTTTTCCGTTTTGATTACTAAAGCTTCTAAGCTAGTGTTATTTTCTGTCTAGGTATTATAAAAAGGCTATTTTTACATTGAGATTACAACATACCATGTTTAAATACTTCTGAATTGCTTTCTGTTGAAATTTAAAATTAATTTAAAATTGATATCTAAAAATTTTCATTAATTTTAAGCCATTAAAATACACAAGATTTTAAATGGAGGAAGGGGCATTAATAATAATTTTTCTAGCCGTTAAACAGATGTATCTACACAGAGAATAATAAATTTTAAAAAGAAATAATTCATTAGAAAATTTAATTTAAAAATAACGAAAAATAAATTATCATTAAATAAATAAACTACATGATGCCGTTAACTTCCTAGAACCTTTTCCATGCTTATATCAAAGATATATAGCTCCAATTGCATTTCATTTGCCATAGTATACACAGCTCCCGTCAGAAGTAATCATTGAATGCCTGGTTTTTTAAGCCGTATTAACAATTAAAACAAGTTATATACAGGCAGGTTTCAATCAATATCGTCTGTATTCTTATCGCCTTTCTGCCTTTTGTGAAAAAGCACAACACTCTAACGTGGCGAATACAATTCTACTTTTATTCTATTAAAATGAGTAATAATGAGATTCGATTATCCTTTAGTATTCTCTTACAAATTTTCATGATTTAGTATTTGTGATTTTGTTAAATTTTGTAATAATCAACAATTCCAATCAACAGAATTGTTTTGTATATTTTGTAATATGGCACAATATATATGGCAAAATAAAAACTAATGGATCAATGTAATAAAATGTTGTTTTACTTAATTATGTATGTTTGCTTTTGTATTGCGAGTAATTTAAATATTTTACCTGAATGTTCATTGAAATTTTGTTGAATCTGAATGTTAAAAAAAAAAGAGTTCTTTTTGTACACGGAGAATATTTCTCTTCCTTTATCCACTTTATTTTTTATGCAGATTCATTCTCATTTTAATTATATATATAAAAGTATTTGATAAAGGATATGGAAATAACGAAAAGTATTCAATATCAAAGTCCATAAAACAATACAAAATAAAACATACCTCTTAAACATCAGAGGTGGGATCAGGTGCCATGGGAAAAGTGAGCATCCCCTGCTGACCAGTCACACCCGCCGTGTGCTCCTTGTCATGATCGGGAAATTGCGGAAAAATCCGTCGTCAACTCAATGTATAAATAATTGACTAACAATTAGCATGAAAAACATAGGTCAGCATTTGACTCAAGGATAAATTGTATTTGCTGACAAGGTCGGTCATTGTATCGACCAAAGAACTTACGAAATGATGACTTTAAACGACACTGCTGATATTCTTGTTTCATCAACTTGTTTGTCAATAATTAACTCGCTTTAGAAATTGTTCATACGTAGAGAATGCACTTGCATATCGAATCAACTGAGATATATAAACTCCGTATGCAGGTGATGAAGGTATATTGCTGCATAAGTAAGGAAAGTTGACGATAGAAAAGTTAAGGTCATCACGTTGTTCATAGAGCTTGGTTGTTATTACCATTAACATCTTTTTCAAACAAAATATCCAAGTATTAAACAGATGTGTCAGACTCTGTGGTATCTTTTATCTCAAGCTCACCAGGTTATATCGTATCGACATAGGAATGAAAATTACCATTGTTAATTGACAATACGTCGTCGATTTATCTAAATGTTGAGTTGAAGGTCACAGCAAGTGTTTTCTTCTTTTCATGCATAAGATTTTACACAAATTCTGCTTCATATGAATACAAAAATAGGTCTGCTAATAACGGAGCGCAATTGGTACCCATGGAAATTCCAACATATTGTTGGAAGACATGGTTTCCAAAAACCACATAGATATTGTCAATCAGAAACTCAAGTATCTTTTTGATGTCAACTTCAGAGTACTTGTGTGTGCAATCAGAATGTGTTTTTACAAAATAATTTTGCAAATGACAAATGACCAAGTAAGTCAATTTACGAGTTCCATTCAGTTCCATTTAGCTGAAAAAGCAGCTGTCAATGAGATCAGAAAGCCTGGACTTTAATTTATCGTGGGGAATGGTTGTGTATAATGTTTAAAAGTCGTAAGTTTTTAAGCTGTCCATCTAAGAATCTGAATAAAACTGCAGAATCTTTAGATGAAATAGAAGAACATGAGAAGTTTATAGACGACATAGGATATACAGAAACTGGATATCCTTCAATCAGAAAAGATTACATCATTGATAAAGGTGAGGCGTTTACAATCAATTACAATGCAAGATATCAGCACGTCAAGTAGTTATAATTCCATACAACATATAAAAATTGCTAGATTAGATACCACTAAACCATCCTAGGGTTTAACCGGAAATTCACTGAAACCGGAACCGGAAGTGCCCATGGTCAAGCGTATACATGTACTGCAACGACACACCAACAGGACTACTGCATAAGTATTACTTACTTTTATGGAAGGAACTTATCGGGGGGTATTGAACAAAGTTGTCTTATACTCCTCCCCCCCCCCCCCCCCTCACGAAATAGAATTTTCGACTTTGGGAGACTTTTCCCTTTTTTTCTTTTTGCTTGTCAACTTTTTCAGGTAAG